AATATTATTTATTAAAAAATGAAGAAACTTTTATGCCTTAAATAATTCAAAAAATAATTATCCAACAGATAGATTCAAATTGCATTTATTTAGATTATATAAAATAGATAAAAATGATAATAAAATTAATTGCTATTTGGATAATTTTAGAATCCCACAAGCTTTACCCAAAATGAATTCATTTAATAGTAGATTGATAATAAAATAAATTTCTAACTTTATTTAAAATAACTAGAAAATATTTGAATATATCAGCCATATCTGTTCCAAGTGAGCGGCTTTTTAAAATCAAATTACCAAAGATCAGATCAGTTTAAAACCAAAAACTGTTAATGAATTATTGTTTGTAAAATGAAATAGTAAATATTATAATCCTTTTGTATAATTGTATGTTTGCAAATTAAAGAGATTTTAGTAGTTATTATAATATTTATAATTGATAAAAATTAGCTTATTGTAATTTTTAGATGTTTATATTTATATTAATATTAATAAAATCAATCAATGATCAAGCAATTAAAATTTAATTTTTAGTTTTATTCTTTGATTGAACAATGCAATCGATTAAGAAATCGATTACATATGATCAATCAAATAAATCAATTTTTAATCGATCAAGTAAGTAACAGATTGACCAAATCATTAATTATGATTTTTTTATCAATTAAATGCCTTATATTAAACTATTAGATTAATGAACTTAGTCCATTCTATTTCCATTAAAATTTAGATTATTAGACTATAGATTTCATTTAATAACTATAAATTTATATATAATTTTAGTAAAATGTTCATAATTATAATAATTAATAAAATGTATATCATTTTATTGATATTTATTAGAATTTTATTAAATTATTATTTAATATAATATTTGACAAATAAATAGATTTCTCTAATTCTTAATATAAATTTCTAGTAAGATAAGGTAAATTTAAAATATTTGTAATATTAATTTCAAGCTCTTTTTCATCTGAAAAATCAAGATTAAATAGAAATATTTTAATTAAATAATTATATTATTATTCCAATTTTTAAGTTAAGTTAGCATTATAAATTTATTTAGAATTATAATATATAAAATTATAATTTAATCAAAATTATATAATTATAGTCAATTTGAATTAAAATTGGATTGGAAATCTCTATTAGATTTAAAGTCCAATAGTTCATTATTATGAATTGGATAAGGTCTAATTTTAATACTAGCATTAGCTATTAGAGTTAAACTTGCTTTAGGCTATTTAGTTAAATAATCAGTTATTATAATTATATAGGTTGATTGCTAGAAAAATCAGGTTCCAGGAATTTTTTAGCAAAATTGAGATTTTTATTGCATTTTAGTTTTTGATATTATTAGATTAAAATGTATTAAGCTCTTAATTTTAGTCAAAAATTTCTCAGAACCTGATTTTTCTAGAAATACTCTCATATAACAGTTTTCTTTATTAGTCAATAATAATGATTCTATAAAATCTATTTCTATTGTCTTTAAAGACTTTTTTATTAAAATAGGATATAAAAGGATATTATTTTTTATGAGCTTTTCTCTTCTTTGACAAGAGTCACAGGTTTTGATATAATTTCTAATATCTTCAAACATTTGTAGTTGGTAATAATTTTCTCTAATTTTTTAAAGACTTTTTTTTATTTTTAAATATCCTTCTATAGGATAAGTGTATATTATAAAGAGTATTGTTTTTATTTCTTATAATACTTTAAAATAGCTTATAAGATTTTTCTTATTTTTTTTTAAAGTTAATTCTCTAAAATTATAAAATGTTTTAACTATCTAATAATTTATTTAGCTAGTTCTTTATCATTTGATAAATTTATTATAATTAAATAATTTATATAGACCCTGCTAAAAGTCTTTAGATGCTATCTTTCAGGCTTTTTCATATTAATTACATCATGTAACTAGAAAATTTCGGCTATATAATATTCTGGCCATTGTTTACTTAAAATAAACTAAATAAATACATATTTGATTTATTTATTTTGATTTTAGATCAAAATAAAATTTTATCTTTTTAAAACAATAAAAATGTCCAAAGAATTAACAATAGAATAACGTAGTGGCATAATTTTTTGCTATTAACACAGCGATCATTATTGAACTATTGCCGCAATTATCTATTGAGAATCTATGAAGTGAAGTCAAGAAGAGCATCTGTGAAAGGAAAAAATTACCTTCCAACCTTGTTCAACTTGATTAACATATTATAAGGGTATAGAAACAAATTCTGATACAAAATATCAAAAATTTGATTGATAGTATGTTGCAGCGAATTCGGGTTATAATTAAAGCAAATTGAGGTCTGACTAAATACTAATTATTTATTACTAAATGTGTAGTATATCATATTTAATAAATATATTAATAAATATTTTTTAATAAAATTTAAAAATTCCAAGTTTTATATTGAGTCAAAAAATGTCTGAAAAAAAAGAATTCAAATATTAATAAATGTAATTTAATTATTTTTAATTATTTAAATATTAAAAATTGCTCAAGAAATTGTGGAAAATGATTATCTGTCTGAGAAAATAAAAAAAATTCATATGATTTGGGGAGTTCCGCGTTTAATTCAATCGTCAGAAGTTCTTTACTCACTTTATTGTGAAAAAAGTTACAGGTTCATGAAGTCAATCATCTCAAAAAAGAAGCTATCAAAATTTCTCATATCACTACTGAATCGAATAAAATTCAGGCACAATGGCTATTATACTTACCACTTTCGTTAATAATATTATTTTTATCTATATTTGGTATATAATCATAATATAATACATAAATAAATGGATATATTAAAGAAAGTGTATAATATTTTTGACAACCTAACTATTCTGTTGTTTCTTCAATTAGTTTAAAAAGAACAATTAATTTTTTTAATAAAATTCATTCATAATCTAAAAGAATTCGCGTTATTAATTTTTTATAATTTTTTTTAAATTGATTCTCTAGATATAAATTTAAAAGAATCCATTTAATAGGATCTTTTAATACTTGTAATCTTTTTCAAAAAGCTAAAGATGATCCCTATCAGTTCTTGACATTATTAATAGTTCGCAAAATTTTTAATGGATATTGATTAATTAATGTTGATTCAAATAAAATTAAATCATTTTCTAGTTATATATCATGTCTAGATGCAATTTCTTTCTGAACCTCTTTTAACTATTCATTTTATTTTGAAAAATTAAAAAATTGAATTAATTTCTTAAATTTATTGGTATATAGTTTAATATTTCCAACCTTTTAATAACACAAAGCTGCAATGTATGTGCACTGCATAGAATATGATTAATACTATTCCATTTATAAATAGCTTTAATTATGTTACTATCTAATTCAAGTAGTTAAAGTTTAGTTAAAATAGTTTGACAAATATTATTGTCATTATGAGAATAATTAATTAGTACAACACAAATTAATATATCATATAATTTCATATTTTCTGTAAGCCAATGACAAGTAATTCTGATATAACTTGATTTTATGTGAAATATCTAAAGATCTGTAGTTATAGCTGCTGTATCATAGGTATGAGTAATCATTTCCTTTATAGCCTGAAATACAGCTTGATATCCATAACCAATACATTTTTTGATCATTACATAACATGATGGCTTAAATGCAGAATCAAGCTTATTAATGATACGTAAAAATTCTTCTTCATTTGCTAAATTAAAAGGTTGAGAATCTGTTATTAGCCAATCAGCCAAAGTATTTCTTAATTCATATTGCTTAAGTTCTTTATGTAGCATAACTTTTTTTATTTGATCATCTACTTTTAATTATTTCTAAAAAGTAAAAATAATATATTAATTTAATATATATCTATTTGTAATAAAAATGCGTAATGATAATATTGTCTTACCAATTTTTCTTTTTCAAACTCTTTATGAACAGAATTTAAATGATGTTGTTGAGTGCTGATTTGAGTATTATACATGCAATTATAATTACACTCTTCTTTTATTCCATTTTTTAATATTTTATATCTGCAATAAGCACGTCCGTCAGTTTTGATTCCAAAATACTTCCACACCCAACTTGTTTTATTATTTCCAAGTTCAACCCACTGAGGTTCTTGCTAATTAATATCTGAAGATAAATCAACATTATTTCTTTTAGTTAACCAGGTCGAAATAATATTAGTTTAGCATTTATGTTTTCTATTCTGATCTGGCATTTAAAAGGATATTAAAAAAAAATTTGAATTTTTCACGTTAACATTAAACGTATTGCGATGATTATCCGATATTTAAAAATTTAAATATTATAAATAAAAATTCCAATACTTTGAAATGCATTTTTATGATAAAAAAAACGAATAATGCTACAACTATGACTATTTTATTTGAAAAGCTTCAATATTAAAAGACCAGTTGCTATATCTTAAGAATAAAAAATTTTTTCCTTCTTTTACGAATGTTATTAAACTTTAAAAGGAATTTTTTTTTTCTTTTTTTTTTAATAATGATATTATTTAGTTTTGTTTATTGTTTATTTATACGCTATATTACATCATAATGATATAATCGATCAAACATAATAATTGTTAATTGATCATTCATAGAAATTTAATCGATTAAAAATCAATTAAAGTTAGTCCAATTTTGATTGATGGCAATATTTTGCGATCGATAAATTGATTGAAACAATCAATCATTGATCTTATTCAATTTGATTAAAAGCCCTACTTTAGAGTATAAAAATCTCATATTGGATCAGAGTCACTCTACTAAGACTGAATTAATACAAATTTTATATAATAAATTTTAAAGTGCGATATTTCAAGTGCTTAACTTTTTTATTAAATCCCTAAAATTATTATATCTTCACTAAGTTGATTAAAAGTCTGCATATTAAAAGGATAAACTTTTTTATTGATAAGAAAAATATTTACATAAAATATGTTATAGTATCATATCAAATTAAATTTGATAATAATAATTGATCCACTAGCCAAAATGAGTATAAGAAAGATTTAGAATATTATCATTTAAAAGTGAAAGATAATACTATGAATGTAAAACTAAATATAAAAATAAGAGAGATTATTTCTATTGATTCTAACGATTTTCAAGGTGAATAATTATTTTATTAAAAAATCCTCAATTTGATAACTAAAAAATACTTTAATTATCTATCCAAAAGCAAGAAATACTTTATGTAATTATGCTATATCTTTTTGTAATTTATTTAATGCTACACAAAGTGGTCAAATTAGATTTTGAAGTTTATATAGATGGCTCTAAAAATTATGATCATTAATTATAGCAATTATATCTGAAGAAAGAAATTTATTATCTATACTTAAAATATATCTTTATTTCTTGTAATAATTTCAAAATGTAAAAGAATCTTTAAAATGTTCAGATATAAATTTTATAGTTAAAATCTAAAATAATAAAATTAAATGAATATTTATTTATTTAATAAACTAAAGTATAAATTTACTTTAAGTACTGCTTCAGTTTTTAAAATACTATGAAAACAGAAATAATAAATATTCTAATATGTTTCACCTAGAGTAACTAAAGCTATTGTTTTACTATACAATAATTCTTATTCATTTTATAATAGACTAGTAAAAAAGTTGATAAATGAAAATAACTAACAGCTCTTGTTGAAGTTTGCTGATAAATATCTAATTCTTTGAAGATATCCCCATAATTAAATTCATTTAGTGAGCTATACGAGGAAAAGATATCTTATTAGGATAATTTTTCACATAATTCTTTATTAAAATAAATTAATTTATTAATAATTAATATATAAAATTTTAAAATAATAAAACTTATATATACTACATTGTAATGTTATAGCATATTCACCTGCTGAGTCAGATACAAAATAATTTATTTTAATATTATTTTTTTCAGCTTTAATCATTATAATTTTAACATAATTAATTATATTTTTAGTTTTTGATCTTATATCACTTATACCTTTGCATTTCAAATGAGTTAATGTTATAAAAATAAAAACTCTTATTTACCATTTGTCTAACTATCAAATGCTACTGTTACTCCAATTTTATCATTTTATGTAATTTTGTAATAGATTTTGTTAACATTTTGGTTGATTTTGGTATAATTTAGTCATTCATCCTTTTTTGACTTGGTAATTTTAAGGCTGGAGCAATGAATTCAAATGCATTTTTTATTTCTTGATTTTTAAAAAATGTAAAGATAATCCATTTGAAACTAACATTTGTAATAGTAAGATTTTAAAATATGACTTATCATTCTTTGTTAAAGATCATGATAAATAATTTGTAATAGATAGTTAAGTAGTAGTGATTGGTTTTGGTAATTGAATTGAGGTTTCATTATTATCACCATTATTTTCTTCATACTTTCATCTTTACTTTCAGAATCTAAAAATTTATATCATAAAAAAAGAATATTGATATTTCTGTTAGAAATTTAAAATTAAAAGAACTTAGAAAAGTAGTGTAATTTAAAACTATTAAATGTTTAGTATCTTCAATTATGTTTATATTTTTGATGTCAATTTTTTTTATTATCTTCTGGCAAACTTCTTGTTAGAATATCTTTTCTTTCACTTTTTATTACTTGATTTAAAAATTTGTACATTTTACAAGGTGTTTGTGGTAAAGTTTGCTTTATTTAAAACAAAGCAACCAACATTAATTGACGTTACAGAAAATGAATATTCCTTTATACAAAAATTACAAATAGCTCATTTATTGGCTATATTTCTTGACAGATTAATTAATGTAAAGAATTCTCTAAAATTATGTGACTTTTTGCCCATATTCATAATATTGAAATATTTTGTTTTTTATCTTTCTTTTCTTTGTCTTTGACACATTAAAATACATTAAATGTTATAAACGTGAATTTAAAAAAATTTATGTACAACATTTTATTTAAATAAAGATCGTGATATATGTTTTTTAAAAGAAAAATAAATTTGTCCTTTATTATAAAAAAGGAAGAATATATGTACATTCCTCATTGCTAACAGTTAATTTAAGAAATTGAACGAAAAATTAATTATATAGTACATAACTTTAAAATTTGTAATGTGAGATGTATGATAACAATGACATTTACGCCTGATCAATTCCATATTATTTTTGGCATACATGTATCTAATAGCAGAATTTTTGCGGCTAATCCAGTTCTGATTAATTTTAATTACTGATAATTTTCATTTAACAAAATCACAAAATCTCACGAAAAAAATTCTTTAAATTTTTTTAATGACAAATTTTTTAATAGAATGCACGCATAAGAAAAAATTTTTTGGTTCTTCCATAATAATTTTTATACACTATATTAATTTAAACTCATAGATTACTAAAATATTTTATATCTACTTAATCCTAAAATTGAATTAAGAAATTATTTTAAATGACTTAAATGACTTCAAATAACATAAATAACATTCAAGTGACAATATCACGCAAGGTCATTTGTCATTTGTAAAATGACTTATTTTAAATGACCAAAATGATATGGTCATTCAAAAGTCATTCGAAGGTTATTTTAAAATGGTTAAATGATCTGATCATTTGCCATCACTGGTCCAAGCTGGGACCACATTCAAATGACATTAGATAAAGCCGCGTTCATGGTTGACCGAGAAGTGATAATAGAATATGATCGTCTTGAAGCGCTCGTCACTACCCTTTACCGATTTGATAATGAATATACCATCTTCGGATGTATGAAACATGTCATAATTTATTCAGTTAAATAATTAAATAAGAAAAGAAATTTGTCATGTAATGATTACGTAAAAAAAAATGAAAAAAAAATTCGGTTCGCCTTCTAACAAAATAAATTGAATGTAATAGATCGATAAAAAGCAAATACTGTTTATATTGCAATAAAAAATAAATTACTAACGACCAGCTACAACTGATGATACTAATGCCATAAAATAATGCATACATGATACAATCATGAATGTTATGTCGAATACCCTGGTGGCATAACGACATAGCGCTTCCTGTTGACTCTTCCAGTGTAACGTTAAATTACTTCATGACGATTTTCGGATATATCAATCTCTCATCATTAAAAGTTTTGTTTTTCTTATTATATTTAAAGCTATATATAAAATAAATTTTTTTACAACATAATCGGATTAAACATCATATACACATTTTCAATCTCTTATCTTCCATAAATTTACAAATTCCCGATATTTAATAAATTTAAGACAATAAATAGTGGTTCAAAATTTTGTTGGAACTACTAGGTATAGTTATACAAACATTTCCATTATTGGAATTTTTTGCAATCATTTTAACTTATCATCTCGTGTATCGTACTCTTCGAGAAGCTGCTATAGGTTAGATCCCATTCGAAGTTTTTGGCGTAGAATGTTCGTTTAACTTATAGAACTTCTCATAGATAAATTATTAATTAATTCAAAATGAGCAATATTTATATTGATTTCATAACTTTCAATGATTTTCATTGGAAACATTCTGTTCAGAACTTTCGACGTGATGGCAATTTGATATTTTTCTGACCTAGAAAATTTCAGAAGTCATTTGTTCAAAAGGATTTTTTTTTTATTTCAAGAAATTCAAGGGGCAAATTTCGTGAAGAAATGAAAAAACGGCGGAAGAAATGGAAAATTTTATTCCTTTCAGACGGTCTGCAAAATCACGACTTTGTGACACGTTAATAAAGCTTGTTTTTGGAGTATTAATAAAGTTAAATTATATTTTATGTCTTATTCGGAATTACAACTCGTCAATGAAGCTTATATGTATTTTCATAACGAAAAAAATGTTTTCATTGTAAATGATTGTAAGCACATATTTATTATATTATTTAAAATTCCTGGGTCATTAGATTTATATATATATGGGCGGCAGTCAATAAAAGGGGAAACATAAACTTTGATTAATTGGTCCACTTAACTAATTAGCTTAAGAACTAAAGTTAGCAAAATTTTCAG